AGCTGGGATTACAGGCACGCACCACCATGCCCAGCTAATTTTTTGTAGTTTTAGCAGAGACGGGGTTTCACCATGTTGACCAGGATGGTCTCGATCTCTTGACCTCGTGATCCACCCGCCTCGGCCTCCCAAAGTGCTGGGATTACAGGCTTGAGCCACCGCGCCCGGCCGTCTTGCTAATCTTAGTCTTGCTACTAAGTTCCATTCCATCCCATTCTTTTTATTTTTTTGAGATGGAGTATTGCTCTACTGCCCAGGCTGGAGTGCAGTGGTGCAATCTCAGCTTACTGCAACCTCTGCCTCTCAGGTTCAAGTGATTCTCCCACCTCAGCCTCCCAAGTAGTTGGGATTACAGGTGTCCGCTGTCATGCCTGGCTAATTTTTGTATTTTTGTGGAGATGTGGTTTTACCATGTTGGCCAAGCTGGTCTTGAACTCCTGACCTCAGTTGATCTCCCCACCTTGGCCTCCCAAATTGCTGGGATTACAGGTGTGATTTTCAGTAGAATCCTATTAATGCTTGAAGCACACCCAGACTCTGTATGGGGCTCACAGTGCCTTATTTTGGTTCCGCATCTTATAGTTTTGAAAACACTGCATTCTTCTACAGTGTCTTATGGGTAAAGGATGTTTGAAAACTGTTGGGTGAATGAATAATTTGGCAAGGCAGAGAGAGAGAATTCTAATTGGAGGAAACAGCCCGGGCAAAACCACAGAGGTATGAAAGGCCAGGTAAGGGGAATCCAAAGGAGCACCTTATGGAATAGAGTGGGGAATGTTGAGCCAGGAAAGTTTGGGAGAGCCGGAAAGTTTTACACCAGGCTGATTTTGTGACCTGTACTTTGGTTTTGTTTTATGTATTATTACTATTTTTGAGATAGGATCTTACTGTATCACCTAGGCTGGAGTGCAGTGGCATGATCTCGACCTGCTGCAGCCTCAACCTCCTGGGCTGAAGCAATCCTCCCACCTTAGCCTCCTGAGTAGCTAGGGCTACAGGTGCTCACCGCTGTACTTGGCTCTTTTTTTAAATTTATTTATAGAAATGGGGTCTTGCCATGTTGCCCAGGCTGGTCCTGAACTCCTGAGAGCAAACAATCTGCCCATCTCAGCCTCTTAAAGTGCTGTTATTATATGTATGTGCCACTGCATCTGGCCCTATTTATTATTATTATTTTTTTGAGATGGAGTTTTGCTCTTGTTGCCCAGGCTGGAATGTAATGGCGCAGTCTCAGCCCACCACAACCTCCGCCTACTGGATTGAAGCGCTTCTCCTGCCTCAGCCTCCCGAGTAGCTGGGATTAGACACCCACCTACTAACATGTGCCACCATGCCTGGCTAATTTTGTATTTTTAGTAGTACCGATGGGGTTTCTCCATATTGGACAGACTAGTCTCAAACTCCCGACCTCAGGTGATCTGCCCGCCTCCGCCTTCCAAATTGCTGGGATTACAGGCATGAGCCACCGTGCCTGGCCTATTTTAAAATTATTTATTTAATTTTATTTTTCAAGGAATTTTTATTTAGGGGTTTTTTTTTTTTCTCTTTCTTTCTTTTCTTTTTTTTTTCAAAGGGTTTCACCATGTTGGCCAGGCTGGTCTTGAACTCCTGACCTCGGGTGATCCCCCTGCCTCGGCCTCCCAAAGTGTTGAGATTACAGGCATGAGCCACCATGCCCGGCCTGGTCTTGCTCTTTCACTCAGGCTGGGGTCCAGTGATGCAGTCATAGCTCACTGCAGCCTCAAACGCCTGGGCTCAAGTAGTCCTCCTGCCCCAGCCTCTTGAGTAGCTGGGACTACAGCTGTGTGCTGCTGTGCCCAGATAATTTTTAATTTTTTTTTTTTTGAGACAGGGTCTCCCTATGTTGCTCACTCTGGTGTCTTAACTCATGTGTTCCTCCTGCCTTAGCCTCTGAAAGCACTGGGATTCCAAGTGTGAGCCCCCACCCCTGGCCTGTACTATGATTTTGAAGGATAACTCCTGCAGCCACGTGGAGAGTCACTGGAAGCTAGTGACCCTTGAAGTTAGTGTTCTGCAGAGGTACAGGCTAGAAATGAGGGCTACCTAAACTTGGGTTGTGGGAAAGATGAGAAGAGAAGAATCAGAGCTGTAAGTGGAAGTGTCGTATCATAAACGTAGGAATGAAGGGGGGGAGGAATTTTGTGTCCAGAGGCTAAAAGGTGCTGAATAAATCCTGGTTGCATGACGAATGTCACTGATTTTGAAAAAGATGCTAGCTCTGTGTTCAGCCGGTGGTTTGCTTCACTGGGAAACACTGCATTTCATTTGCAGCACCCCGTGGGAGGGGCAGTCAGCTAGAGAGGCTTCCAGTCTCACTGGAGACTGGCTTTTACAGTTCACTGAAATGCTTTGAATTCTTAGATTCCATATTTCCCACATTCAGTTTATTCATTACAGAATGCACTTTCTAAAACCGAGAGCTCTGGAAGCCAGTGTATTTTAATGTAAGAACATGGGCTTTGGCGTCAAAACAGTTCTGACTCGTTCTAACTGGCTGTGGATCTGAGCAAGACACCTCGCCTCTAAGACTCAATTTCGTCATCCTGAACATGAGCTAACGAATGCCCGGCTTTTAGGGTGGTGGTCACGTGTGTAAATCTCCTGACACACAGTAGATGCTCAGTAAATAGCCTTTCCTCTCACAAGTATTTGATGATGTCATTAGCTTGTAACTGAGAGCTAAATATATTATTAGCGGGTCATCTTTTCTTAGTATTTTGAACTCTGGTTAATCTAGCATAAAAGCTGATTTTGTATTAGACAAGTACACTCTAGGAAGATAGGGAAGGAGGTTGGGAATACCGGTCTGATTCAGGCTCAGCTGTTCCCTGGGACAGGACACTTAATGAGGTTTGGAACTTTAGAGTTCTTGTTATTTCTGGATTTAGATTTCTTGAGGGTTTAGTTACCATACTGGGATTTTTAAAAATAGCTGCTCCATTTGACTGTCAACGTTAGGTTGTGGCTCTCGTACAGGGATGGAAGGGGAACCTTTGGGGTTTGAGTGAGCATTCCTTGGAGACTGCCTCGTCTGGCTGTGTGCTGTAGTGTGGTCCCACGCACGTGTGTTCTGGGCCTGGAGTTGTGACTTCCCTACAGGTGGGGGTTTTTTCTCTTCATCCGCTTTTCCCTCCTTCTCTGTGACTCTTGTACGTTTCTCTTCTACTCCTTTTCTCCGAGGCTCCTTTGGGCCTCTGACCCACTCCCATGGCAGATTTTGCCACATGCCCCTGCCATTTGCCTGCGGGCTTCCTTTCTACTTTTTCTTGTCTGCCTCAAGCACCCTCCTTCCCTTACTTAGTCACTCAACGAATGTTTGTAGTGTGGTGAGGCTCGCGAGTGCTGGGGATGCTACGAAGGACATTCCATTGAGGTGATGGCAGAACAAGCCAGCCGGGAAGAGGGTGCTAGGAAGGGAGGCCAGCAGGCTCCAGATGGAGTGGGGCTTTCTAGGCCATGGTGGTGGGGTGGCGGTGGGGGGAGGATTTTAGTCTAACTGAAAAGGCAGTGATTGCATGGGCTTAGGCAGGAGAATGACATCTGATTTCTCTCTGTAGAAGACCGTGCTGGGTGCCGCATGGGGAACTGGATTGTTGGGTGAGCAAAGCCATGAGAGTAGAGAGAGGACTCCCCAGGTGATGTGAGCACTCCCCAAATGAGAGCTCTTGGGACCTTGCTGGTTGAACCCAGGAGCAGAGGTTGCAGTGAGCCAAGATCACACTGCTGCACTCCAGCCTGGGCAAGAGAGCGAGAGAGACTCTGTCTCACAAAAAAAAAAGACGAAAATTGTATCTGGAAAACTGTCAGGCTGACAATACATCACTTAAGTGCGTATATCCAGCTGGCCACCAAAAAAGTGCCACCCTATAGGGTGCATCTCTAAACCCACCCCAAATCCGACTATCACTATCTGAGATAGTCAGATTTGGGGTGGGTTTAGAGGTGCACCCTATAGGACTTGCTGATGAACTAGATGTGGGGAGTTGGGGAAAGAGATACACGAAGGATGAGTCCTTGTTTTTTGACCCTGGTATGCCATTTATTGAGAATGGAAAGAGTGGGGTGGTTACTGATGGGGGGAGGTTCTGCTTTGACCCTCCTGCAGTGGGGTTTTTGGGTGACCAGCTGGATATATGCACTTAGTGAAGTGTTGTCAGCCTGACAGTTTTCCAGATACAATTTTCTTCTCTTTTTTTTTGGTGAGACAGAGTCTCTCTTGCTCTCTTGCCCAGGCTGGAGTGCAGCAGTGTGATCTTGGCTCACTGCAACCTCTGCTCCTGGGTTCAAGCGATTTTCCTTTCTCAGCCTCCCGAGTAGCTGGGATTACAGGTGTGTGTCACCACACCTGGCTAATTTTTGTATTTTTAGTAGAGATGTGGTTTCACCATGTTGGCCAGGCTGGTCTCGAACTCCAGACCTTGTGATCCGCCCACCTCAGGCTCCCAAAGTGCTGGGATTACAGGCATGAGCCACTGAGCCTAGCCCTCCTTTTTTTTTTCTTTTTTTTAAGCTTCATGAGCCTGAGGTCCCCATGAGCTCCTTTGTGGAGAGTATATATATGAAGGGAAGACCAAGGACTAAGCCCAGGTGCTCCTGGCATTGACCTGAGTGGAGAAGTGTCCAGGCAGAGAACGGCTGCGGCTGGTGGGTAGGAACTCATTGTTGTCCCCCAGGCCCCTCACTCTTGAGACTGGCGTTCCCTGTCCCACTTCCATGGTTTATTGTGTGTTGTGTGTGTGCCCCCAGTTTGCCATGCTTCTGATCTGCAGTGTCCACTTCCTTTTGTAGAGTGACTAAGTATTTTAATATGAAATGCCCTTCTAGAAAGGTCGGGCAGGGTTGCTATTCACAGTGTGGCCTATGTGCCAGCATATCGTTGAGACTTGGCTTTAGTTGGGTTAATATTGTGGTGTGGATTTTTTTTTCCTTAAAAGTTAATGTTCTGATCTTTAGATTCAGTAATTTGAGTAGAAAATCGTGGTTTCATAGAGCATACATTATTTCTTATGGTAGGATTTGAAAGGACAAACTGAATATTTCATGATTGCCAGTTGTTGGAAAGAGCACTTAGGAGCGTGGTCGCCATCAGCTCAGTGCAGTGGGTAAGCTGAGTGCTGCGCTCGTTTTCCAAGTTGAGTGAGGATGTGAGCTCCCCCTGTAGCCTTCCCCATACTGACTAAGGTTCCCTTACTCATGCAGGCTGGTGACGTTCCTGGGATGAGGGTGCCTTCGGCCCTGCTTCTGTGTGACCCCCCGTTGGCACGGCCCATAGGAACCCTTGTGTTCTCCTGAGTGACTCTTAGAGCTCCCCCTGGACCTAGCCTCAAGTGTCCCTTCACTTTCTCTGAGTCTGTTTCTCAGGCTCCTCCGGCTTTTCGTGCCCTGAGTTCCTGTCACCCGGCTTACCAGGCCCTTCCCCCGCCCCCCTGGACTCTGAGGTTGGCCTCTCCAGCTTGCATCTTGGTCTTGCCTTCGTTCCTCTGCTTTTCTGTCCCATCATCCTGGCTAATCTCCAGCCCGGGGTAAGTTTAGGGTGCTGGGCTGGGCTTTTGGATAAAAGGACCAGCCATTCCCGTCCTCCGTTAGACAGTGAAGGGGTCAGCATTGTCTGGGCCCGGTTACTGTCGGCTTCTTCGTCTCCACCCCACTTCCATTTTGCAATCTCCTAGGCCCTCCCAGCCCGCAGCCCCACCCCTGTTCTCTGCTGAGACTGCACTCATCTTCCTGAGTGTGAACTGCTTTCACTTCTCCTCATCCCCGGGTTTCTCTGTAAGCCCCCGTTTCTTCCTCCAGGGAGGAAGGATCATTCTGCTTTGCCTACCATCCCGTACTCCACCCACGCCTTCTGTTTCCTGTCAGTACAAGTCACACTTGATTCAGATGGCTTCAGCTTTTCCTTAATGTCCTTTTTCTGTCCCAGGATCCCACCCAGGGTCATGGAGGACATGAGTGGGCCTGTCTCCTTAGGCCTCTCTTGGCTGTGGCACTTTCTCAGATGTTCTTGTTTTGGTGATTGGGCAGTTTTGAGCAGTGCTGCCGGTCAGGGACTTTTGGTAGGATGCTCTTGTATTGGGACTTGTTTCATATTTTCCTCAGGACTAAACTCGGGTGATGAGGTAGAGGGCCTGTATCATCACAGCCTGTCAAGGCTGGATTCTGTCCACACAACTCATTGTTATGGATGCGGCCTTGAACACCCGGCTGACTGAGGTGGTGTTTGCCCAGTTTTTCCTCAGTAATGTTCCCCCTTTCCTCACTCTACCTGTTGGAAACTGTCCCTGTGCATGTGGCTGTACTTGAGGGGTGGGGAGCCACGTCTTCCATCCCAGAAGGAGGCGCGTGCTTTTCTTGGATTCGCGGTGCAGGGTGTTTGTTTGTTTTCTGTTTATTCAACTATGGCTTTATGTCAGTCTGGACTTGTGCATGTTTACTGTATGCTTCGGCTTATAAAGCAGCACTGTTTTATTTTGTTGCTCAGGTGGTTCCAGCTTTGGCCACTGGAAGCTGTTTCATTTGGTTCCTGTGTCCTTTTCACGTGCCCCTAGTCCCCACGATTGTGTGTGTGTATTGTGAACACTTCATTACTCTCCAACAATATAAATAAGATGCTCCAGGCTCATCTTTTGTGTGTGTGTGTGTGTGTGTATATATGTGTGTGTGAATAAATAAATATATACATATATATATATAAAATTTTGCCTCAATCCTGGTTTCTTTTATTTTATTAGAGAATGGTATTAAAATCCAAGATCTGTAATGGCTCACACCTATACTCCCAGCACTTTGGGAGGCTGAGGTGGGAAGATTGCCTGAGCCCAAGAGTTCAAGACCAGCCTGGGCAACATAGCAAGGCCCAATCTTGCATATTAACAACAACAACAACAAAAAAAAAACCAAGATCTGGGAATTAGGTGTGTTGGTGGCTGTTGGGTTGTTGCTTCTAGGCCCTCTCAACTGACAGAGCAAGTAAATATATGCGTGGATGCTAACCTATGTGTGTGTCCATATCGATAGATAATTCTGTATGTAACTGCCTGGATCTATCTTAAACCAAAAATGAGTTCATAGTCAGGTCTCCAACTCTAATCCATTACCATGTAGGTCATTCTAGCTTCCTCCTCTTCTTACCTGGAAACTTCCATGTCAGTAGTGAGAAGCCTGGCTCTTGCCATCCATTTACTTAATTTTTTTTTTTCTTTTGAGACGGGGTCTTGCTTTGTTGCCCAGGCTGAAGTGCAGTGGTGTGATCATATCTCAGTGCAACTTTGATTGCTTGAGCCCAAGCGATTCCCTTCCTTAAGCCTCCCAACTAGGCGAGACCCCAGATGTGTGCCATCTTGCCTGGCTAATTTTTGTTTAAAATTTTTATTTATATTTTTATTGTAATTTTTTTAAAGTTTAAGACAGAGTCTTTCTCTGTTGACCAGGCTGGAGTGCAGTGGTGTGATCTCGGCTCACTGCAAACTCCGCCTCCCAGATCAAGTGATTCTCCTGCCTCAGCCTCCAGAGTAGCTAGGATTTTAGGCGTGCACCAACTCACCAGGCTAATTTTTGTATTTTTAGTAGAGATAGGGTTTCACCATGTTGGTCAGACTGGTCTCGAACTGCTGACCTCAGGTGATCCACCTGCCTCGGCCTCCCAAAGCTGGGATTACAGTTTTGAGCCACACTGTGCTCGGCCTGCTTTGTTTGTTTGTAGGGACGAGATCTTGCTGTGTTGCCCAGGCTGCTGTTAAACGCCTGGGATCAAGCAATCCTGCCTCAGCCTCCCAAAGTGCTGGAATTACAGGCATGAGCCAGTGCATACTTCACTGTGAAATTCCAGAATGTAAGTGTTAATATAATGGTTTCAGAGTTGTTCATCGTGCCCCATGGGAAACAACATTATCCACTAGAATAGGTGCATATGGCTCCTGTTAACGGTGTAAGACCTAAGTCTTATAAATTCCACTCAAGTTTCTTAGGTCAGCACCCTTCCGATGCCCTCTGCAGTACGGTTTTTTTGTACGTTCATACATTTGTAATATAGGTAGGTAGGTAGGTTCTTCTGTCATAGCCTGCATTCCATCCTGACATCTCTGACCACCTAGATTATTTTC